GTGAGGGTGTTGGCTTAGTAGGAAGGTTTGTGCTGAGTGAGCGGTTCTTTGCTGCCAAAGTTGTAGGTGGAACGTGCTTACGGCGATATTTGCGTCGCAAGTTCTTATGGTGATTGCTTACTGCGGGGCCCTGGCTTCCTTCCCGGACTACTGGTGGACCTGCACGTTGTGCTTCGGCCTGCCTTTCTCGTACATCGCCATTCAGAAGCAGCTGCGCTGCATTATGATGTGATTCGTTCGTGGCATACTTTTGTCGGCGAAGCGTAAGGTACCGGGATAAGGGAACAGTGAAATTTATGTCCGGAGCCCTTGAATGGAAAGGAAGCATGGGTTTGTGTGGGGCATAGTAGGTCATTCATGGATTTGTCGTAGGCTGTGATGGTTACATTTTCTCTGCTGTGGCATCTCTATACGATTTTTGCTTGATGCCCTGATTCAGCATCTACATCGACCACGATGTCATGCGCGGGGCCACGTTCCCGGTCTATGAGTGGCAGCGCTTCCTCACCCACCCGTTTCTTGGTGGCACTTTTCTACAACGTTAGCACTTGACTTGTAACAGTTTTGGGGCCCTTGAAGTAGGTTCGCACAGAGCGACCAAGGTTTGCAGATTTCTTCAGTTTGCCTTGGGAGGAGTTCGTCCTGGAGCACAACAGGCCAGGAAGTAGTTGCACGCTTTGCTGTGTCCTTTGCCGCTTCCGAACTGCATAACCTGCCCAGGGAGCTGACATCTCTTGCATCAATCGAGGAACAAATACGAACAACAAGCAAACACCTAGTCAGCCTTTCGTCATTTTCCATGAGTAACGGGATTAGGTCTCATTGAGCCGTAAGTGCCGAGTGGCACATTGTTGTGGTGCTGGCAAGCAAGAGACAAACAACAGGCATCACGCGTCCACGGTGGACTTGCTGATCCAGGGCGAGTTCGGCTGGGATCCCGAGGAGTTCCGCTACATAGATTTTCTGCGAATGTGCGAACTTGTACACAAAACCCCGCTAACTCCTTAGAACACATTATGTCTGCAGATATTTGACAGGAGTTCCACTATGCTCTGCAGCAGTGGGCCGGGCCGTGGGGCTCCAACTGGTACAAGTACCTCCTGACCGTGCCGTTCATCCCAGGCAGCATGCTCAGGACAAGATTCTCTTGAATCGGTGCATTTTCTTTTTATGCCAACAGATGTTTCTGCAGTGAATTTTGGGACACGTAGCTAAGCATTGCTAAGCCTCTGTGTGC